GTATTAATCCGTCTCCATTTGGGCGATGGCTGTATTACTTCTAGGATTTGTCTGTTAGGGTCCTGTATCTCTGCCTTGATATTCTGCTTTTCATTATGTTTATTCTGTCCATCAAGGGGGAACGGCAGCAGTCTCGTCAAAGAGGATTCCGTAGCTTTGGCTGCTTTGAGCAACATGCGGCAATCTGTTTCTGGCTCTAGATAACTAGATACAATACTAATTTGTATATCTTTAGGCTCCAGAATTTAACCACAAGAATAGGAAGTAAAAATACAAAGATGTGATAGAGGATTATTTGTATTTTCTGAGATAGTGAGGCTTAACAACCTCAATTGTTAACGGTGGAGGGTTAAGTTATAATGTGCGTCGTTGATTTCCTCTGCCCCCTGTGCTGGTTTAACTACAACTCCCGACGTGCTCGTTATTCCAGTATTTGTAGAAAGCTGTTTTTATATTTTAATGTGTCGTGATGATAGGACCAGTCTGGCTGGTGGTTTATGATAGATTTAAGTACAAATAAATACCCACTTTATCTTTTAGTTGTCTCTACCCTGATTTCACCAGTAGCTCAGTGACTAAAAAACTTGGCTAAACACGGGTCTTTCTTAGAGTCTTTTGCTGTGGGAAGGACCAAGGAAATGAAATCTCTTTAAGATTCTGCTAAGAGGCTGCTCTTAGAAAGGGACAAAAGTAAAGTAAAGGGACAAAAGAGTAAGGAAAAGGTAGCTAAGTATACAAAGCTAGGTGACTGGTTAATTAAATCTCAACGAACTTTTTTCCTCCTTGTGTGTGTAATAGTATTGAAACAATAAAATTTGTGGTTATTGGGAGTTAAAGAAGAGTGCCCCATCTGGAAGATCAGAAGCAGAAAAGTGATAAACAGAGCTCTTGGGTTTGTAAAGAGGCTAAAATAAAGGGCAGCCAGGGAATAGGTAATAATGGAAGGAAGAGAAGACTGGAGAAGGAGGGGAAAAGGTCAACCAATTGGAATCTCACCCTGTAACTCCCACCAGGGATGTGTCCACTCTTCTCTACAATTGTACTGTGCCAGAAGGCACTGTGTGGAAATAAGCTTCTTTTAAGACATTTTAATGCCAGCTTTTATTTAAAAAGGGACTTGTTAAGTTTATAGACCAACTACAAAGCACAATACCAATGTTTTAGAACGTCCAACTCTTGGTTTTGGCTCAGGTCCAGACCTCTCCGGTTTCTGAGTTCGGGCCCCGCGTTGGGCTTCCTGCTGGCGGTGCGGAGCCTGCTTGGGATGCTCCTCTCTTTCTGCCCCTCCCCTTTCTCTCTCTCTTAAGATAATCTTTTAAAAAATAAAGTATAGGAGCGCCCAGGTGGCTCAGTCGTTGAGCGTCCGACTTCAGCTCAGGTCATGATCTCGCAGCTCGTGAGTTCGAGCCCCGCGTCGGGCTCTGTGCTGACAGCTCAGAGCCTGGAGCCTGCTTCGGATTCTGTGTCTCCCTCTCTGTCCCAACCCACTCGCATTCTGTCTCTGTCTCAAAAATAAACATTAAAACATTTTTTTAAATAAAATAAAAAATAAAGTATAGGGGCACCTGGGTGGTACAGTTGATTAGGTCTCCGACTCTTGATTTCAGCTCAGGTCATGATTTCATGGTTCATGAGTTCGAGCCTCGAACTGTGCTCTGCTTGGGATTCTGTCTCCTTTCTGCCCCTCCCCTGCTGGTGCGTGCGCTCTCTCGCTCTCTCTCAAAATAAAAACTTAAATCTACAAATATATTAGTGTTAACATAAACTGGATCAGAAACATGTTTAGGGGCGCCTGGGTGGCTCAGTCGGTTAAACGTCTGACTTTGGCTCAGGTCTTGATCTCGCAGTCCGTGAGCTCAAGCCCCGCATCGGTCTCTGTGCTGAAAGCTCAGAGCCTGGAGCCTGTTTCCGATTCTGTGTCTCCCTCTCTCTCTGCCCCTCCCCCGTTCATGCTCTGTCTCTCTCTGTCCCAAAAATAAATAAAAACGTTGAAAAAAAAAATTTAAATTCTGAGGCTAGTTGGGAATACTTTTTTCCCCAGGTAAATTATGTTTTCCCCTTAGAAGAAGCAAAGCAGGCATCTATGAACTATACTAATATTTCTTTTTACTATCCTTTTCCATCCCAGTTCACCCCGAATTGATCTGAATCAGAGCACTTTTAATCACCACTGCCTTCTTGCTCCATGGCAACATCTACTTTCTGAAGCAGACACAGAGAATGGTCCACTAAGGCAGTTGTCCTGGTCATTTCCCTCATGGTTTCCCCAATTTTCCAATGTTGCTGTGGGACCATCCAAATTCTCTAGACATTTGACAAATGACATCAGGGGTAATTTCTGCCTATACCTAGGTACAACACAATATTCTTTTAAAAGTTGTCAGATCGTTGAATTTTGTGCCAAGCACTATGTTATGAACTGAGTAAATCATGAAAACAAAGCATTGATTGAACAATTAAAATAGCACATGAAATCTCTAAATCCCTATTTTCATTTTGTTATTGAAGCAGATTTGAGTATGACTTTTTTTTTTTCTTAATGTTTACTTTTGAGAGAGCACAAGTTGGGGAAGTGGCAGAAAGAGGCAGATAGGATCTGAAGCAGGTTTTGTGCCCACAGCGGCGAGCCCAATGGGGTGCTTGAACTCACAAACTGAGATCCTGACCTGAGCCAAACTGAGCCACCCAGATGCCCCCAGACCCCCCCCCCCCCACCCAGTATGACTTTTTACAAATGTGATTTCACTGTTCTGCCACCTGGCCTTTTCATTTAAGTGTATTGAGTGAAGGAAAAATTCTTTTTTAAGAGATTAGAGCGTTTTAACATATGGCACTAGGGAGCCTGGCTGGCTCAGTGGAGCGGATAACCCTTGACTCAGGTTCCCGAGTTCAAACCACGTTGGGTGTAGGGCTTACTTTAAAAAAAAAGGGAGGCACCTAGGTGGCTCCGTTAAGGATTGGACTTTGGCTCAGGTCATGATCTCCCAGTTGGTGAGTTTGAGCCCGGCATCGGGCTCTCTGCTGTCAGCGTGG